CCCGCGCCAAAGTCATCTTGCTCGGCTACCAGCCCACGGGAGAAGACCAAACTATGTTACTCGAAGGTGATGAAGACAATGAGTTGGTGCCACCACTGAAGACCATCAAGACAGGTCAGCATGGAGAACCCAAGGCATTGCCGTGAGACACCAACAGCGCTGCACGCTGGGTCACACCTTGAGTTACACCTGGAAGGGGAAAAAGAGGCTTCATTACAGCCATCTGCATGGTTTCACCCTGCCCCATAGGCAGAGGGGAGGTGACTTCTTCCACCCACCACCCGCTGTCCCTGTCACCTGTGTCTTTTTCCCTCCTGAACTCCAGGCAGCCCCAGTCTCCCAGAGCTCCCACTGAGAAAGAGCTCGGTTGTGGTTGCGAGTTGTCAGGGCAGAAGGTTTCAAGCGAAAGCAAATGATGAAAATGGAAAAGACTGGAAGGAACCGGGCAGACTCCCTTGCAGATGTGTGGTGTTGCATTTCACGCTGACCCATGCCTGGCTTTTCTGGGAAAGGCCCATATTATGGAAATACTGTTCCAGTTTTTCCCCACAGGACTGTGGGTTGGTTTTTTTTTTTTAATTTACCGAGTTTTGCACAGAAGTTCGGTCCTTGTTAAGACTCATGAGCTGTACTGCAAAAGACTGGAAGTAAGACACAGTCATGCAAAGCGACATAGCTTGAAGTGCTTGTTATATTCCTGGTTTTGTCTTCCAGGTACCTTCCCTGACATTACAGTACCCTCTCTGGTGACGTTGTTTTGTGTCAGAGGGCCTTTCCTTTCCATGAGCTGTTCTGTGAGATACAGTTCAACACCCTGTTGAATCTGGAGGAGAAGAAGAGTCTTGAGAAACAGGGAGATGTGTTGCCAGAAAAAGGAGCTTTGGCCAAAAGAAGAGGATAGCCAGACTGCCTGAACTCTCACTGAACCGAGGAATAGGGCGGCCCCATGTATCCCAGCCATCTCCAAATAACAAGAAATACGCCAAAACTGAGTTTTGAAATGTCTTAGATATACTCATTTTGATTTCATCCCCATTTTACTTTTTTTTTTTTTTAATGGATTTTTCCATATTCTGGGGACTTACAGTGGACATTGCAATGACTTAACTCTAGATAGGCTTTTCCCCTATAAAGCCTGGGTGCAGTGACACTTAGCTTTATTTTCTTATCATTTCTGGGGCATAAAATAATTTCATGTGCCATAGATATTTTTTTTTCCTTCTTTCTTTTTTTAAGAACATGTTGCAACTAGTGGTGCACAAATGACTCCTTGGTTAGATAAGACATTATGTTTTTATCCTTGGACTATGCCCCCAGGCTTTCAGTAATGCCAGCATCAGCTAAGTTAGCATCTGATTAGTCATTCTTGCCTCTTACTCAATGTCAGTCTTGATTATGCCTATTAATCTGGCCCATTTTTTTGAACTGAGCTGTGGCCACAATCCCGCCTGACTCTCAGCACTCTGCTACTATGACAGCTAAGAGTTCTCACATTTCTACAGTTCCAGGGGGTTTTGTATGGGTTTCTCACCATTTAAATAGCCATATTGTTATTCACCATGTTTGGGGGCAGTTGTGGCCCAGAGAGAAGGAATCTGGGCTCCTGCCCTGATACTGTTGGCTTTAGAGATCCCTCGATGTTCTCGGCCTCTCAGTCCGAAGTGAGGGTTAAGGATTATGTCCAAACAAAGCTGGGCTCGGACAATTTTCATCCTGGGAATGAGAAAAGGGTATTGGGAATGAGAAAAGGGTATTGGGAATGAGAAAAGGTTAAAGAGCAAATTTCATAGTTCAGGACCAGATTTCAACGTCACATCCATATTGATAATCAGGACTGACTTGTTATGGAAGGTGGTGTTGGAGTGAAACTATGTGGCCTTTCTACATTTTTGAAGCAGATGTCGGTGCCCTGTTCCCAACCACTCCGGCACAAAAGCAGCCCCGAAGAGTACTGAAACTTTGTTGAGGGTTGAACAGGTTCTTCTTTTTCCTCTCCCTGTTTTCTTACATCACTTTCTGAGTCACAGCTGCCATTCAGCTGTGATTTATTTAAGGCTGGGACTGAGTTTTATTAACATCAGGAGAAATCTAACTCACTTTGTGGTGAAGAGTTCTGAGTAGATGTTAGGTCATCATGGCCATGAAGATGATACCTGTCCCAGTGAACAGCCAGAAATCTCTAGCTGGTTTCTTCATCACCTTACAGTGTTTTAACCTGACAGAGCGTAGTTGACCACAATGTATGGCATACAGAGATAACGGCGTTTTTTGCAAAACACTTTGCTGGTTTTCCAGCGAGGGGATGGGACTGGGGGCATCTTTCCTTTCCTTGGGTGCTCACCTGCGCAAGCACCTTAGGTGTATAGAGAACCAGGGGCAACACCAGATGGTATAACACAGCCTTCCCAGTTTGCAAATTGATGTCAATCCTCCGTATGGACATAAGCCTCTTTTTAATATGTTTTCCATTTGTTCCTTTTTTGACTCAGCAAGGCTGGATATAGCTGGAGGGTGCAGGGGAAAGGGGAGAAGGGAGAAAAAAACAGAACTATGTTTAATAAAAATAGTATGAATGTTCAAAGATAGTGCTCTGGGAATTAATCAATACGGTTTCTCATATGTACTGCAGAGAGGACGGAGGGCAGGCTCTGCCGAACATATGTTCCCAATAAGACAACAGGCTCATTCCTAGAAATAAAATTCAAATGCTTTTGGGAATGTTTGTTAGACAAGATGAAGTGGAGAAAAGATAAGAACTCTTTGATTAATTAAGAGAGAACACAAAGTACCCTGAGTGAGCCATCCGAAACAACATTTCTTTGGCGAGGTAAGTGGTGAGAGAAGAGGTTTGCAAGCTATGGCAGCTGCACATCGATCTCTGGAGCCTGGTTTTTCGAGGAAAGTAACTCTGTGCTGCGTATGGGGAGAGGTCTCTGAGACACTAAAACCTAACAAAAGACTTGTTGCTATGCAAAACCATGAGGCAGACTTAAGCTGCTAACTGTTTTTGGCACAGAAGTTTTCTTCTTTTATTCTTAGTGGCACGTTTTGTAGCCCTACCACTGTTTTGAAGATTTTCTCCATCTGAAATGCAGCAATAATTATACTCTTTCGTGAACTTGCAGGGATTAGTGAGCGTAAATCCACCAATGTTCAGGTGGTTCTCAGGTATCAGAGGCAATGGTAGCCATAAAATCACCTGCTTGGAGAGAGGGCATCTAGATAAAAATGATAATTGAAAGACAGAAGCCAGTAAGGCCTTTTTTCTGAGTAAAGTATAATTAAAAACAGTATGCTTCTGAGTTTATAAGCAGTGTGAAATCATATCATTAGCATATAATTACAATGGCAGACATGACAGATTTATCTAGACCAGATGCCTATTAAGTCAGTTCCCTCCTTTCATGGCTGCAGTTTCTTATGGTATATATCACTGAGTGATATTTTTGGTACAGTTAGCAGCAAAATCTCTTTTCATTTTCAGGTATTTCTTAGTACATGAACATCACATTTACACAGTGCTGTGACTTTCACTGTACAGTGAGGGGCTGCTTGTTCTTCCAGCTGTTATCTCCTAAAGTAATTTTGTCTGTGTAGTGATTATTCCTAAAATAAAAATAGTTCAAGAAATTTCTTGGGTAGCATCTTTTTTTTTTTTTTTTTTTTTTTTTTTTTTTTTTTTTTCCAAAAAGCGTCAGGCCAATTACTTTACTGTGGTTTAAACTTACTGTGTGTTTAAAAAGCAGGACAGCCACGCAGGTACCCATTAGAAGCACCACTGTCACGGCAGCCTAAGCTGAAGTTCACAGGACTGATTGTGGAGGATGCTGGTGAGGTTTAAGGCTGACAGGCAGCGTCCTGTGGTGCTGGGCACAGCCATATGGACCACCATCGGTTCCCGACTCATCCACTCTCTGAATAGGTGGAAAAAAATTACTCCATTAGTGATGTCAAAGCTGAACAATTTATTTCTTCCAGTGCTGTGGAAGAGCTCGGTGAAAAAGGAAGGGGGAAAGAGATGTAGCTCCAATCTTAACCCCTGCTTGCTTCTCTACAGTTCCCAAAAGACCCCTTCATCCCCAGCTAATTCCCATTAAAGTTAATGGCAACTGACCAAGAAACAACACGTCCTCCTCAAAAGAAAGGTTAGACAAAATCCTCAACGCATCTTGTGTTTGGCTTGGTGGCAGTTTTGCATTAACTCTTGTTTCATGCCCTGCTGGAAACCCATCTGTCAGCAGCTTTGCCTCGAAGACCTCCAGGCACGACAGAGATCCTTCAGAGTCCAAATCCAACAAATCTGGGGTTGTTTGGACATACCAAATTTCTGGAGTAGCCATGAGTCACACCCTGAGTGGTGAACTAGATCTGAATGAGGACATAGGCTTTTCTCCACAATGACTTGACAGCATCTCCAGCAGGGGTAGCATTAACTATACAGCCTTCTTCAAGTCCCCATGATGGGCATGACATGATGGACAATGACGTGATGGACATGGGGTGACATCACCCATCATGCAGGAGGATGGAGAGGGAAAATGCAAAAGACAGGAGAATCAGGACTTTCACCTCCTTTCTTTCCAGACAAACTTATTTTGATTTACTGCTGCCAAACGTATTTATTCAGCATTTACTCATTTTGCTTTTAGATTGATTAGATTCAATCTTCC